CCTTGTAGCCCTCCTTTTTCTCTAATTTTGGTCTGCAAACTTAGGTTGTTAACCATCCAGAAGACAAGCTTATTGTTATTATCAAACGATTTAGGCTATCAAGCTTAACCTCACTATGTCACTGCATTTCAAACATCTTAGGCATAATAAGGAACAGGTATTTTTCATCAAGTATTGATATGTTGAACTTTAAGTCCCTACATAATATGATAAAAAAACATTTAAAAATTAGATTATATTTTAAAAATAGGATAAAGAATTCTATGCTTCTCATGTTTGCACATAAGTCCAAAAATCTCACCATATACAACCTTGAAGCAGGACATCTTAGTTATCTTTAAGAGATCTTTTCTTACCTTTTCACTAGCTGCAACGGTGTCTTCAGGGTCTGAAAGTCTATTTTCTCTTTCATTCAAATGGTTTTGCCAGCTTGTGGTTGAGGTTTTAATCTCCTGTATAGCACTTTAAATGTGTGTCATGCGTTCTGTTTCTTTCCTATATTGCTTATTCAAGGATTCCATCATTTTTCTATTCTGTATTTTTTTTCATCAGTGTCTTCTTTAGAAGCACTTAGTAATTCTTTCATTATAGTTATCATTTCTTTTTTACTTAAGAGATTATTTCTGATATGGTTTCCTTTACCTTTGTGCAGTTGTTTCTTTACTTCAGATGCTATTAATTCAGAGGCTTTAGGTGTATGACTTCCAATTTCTTCTATGCTAGTGTCTCCTGCATTTGTTCTGGGTAGTCTTGGGGCCTAGAATGTATTTTGCTCCTTCTCTTTGTCATTTTGTATAGCACTGTCTTCTGACCTTTGGTATAGAACTTTGGTGCAATTACTGCTTTAGGCCTACCGAAATTCTTACTCAGGAGAGATTATGTGGTTAAGGCAGTTACAGTATTGTATTTATAGAACTACAATTAGGAACACTAATAATGGGTAATGATATTTAGCAGTTGACAAACTTTTGTAACTAATAGGTTTGTATTTTAGACCATAAGAGCAAACATTATGTCTGTATAGCTAAGCAGATACTAAATTGGGAATCTGTATTTAAATTAGTTCCCCTAAGTTCTGTCTGATCACCTCCTCTTGATGTGCATGGGGTCTTCCAGACCAACTAGTTCACCCCAGTTACCTGAGAGAGGATGCTCTCATAGATCTGGGCCTAGCAAAGTGTCTCAGCTTACCGGGTCCAGATCTGCCAAGTTTGAACTTGTCCAGATGTGCCTGGCTTGGGTCTGCCTGCTCTGCTCAGTTTCTTCCTGCTGCAGCCTGTGGAAGTAAACCCACTGTGCTCCTCTGGGAAGATGTTGAGCTCCTGGATTAGCTGGGTCGGTCTGGCCCTAGCCTCTCAGCAGGGAGTTCTGCCACAGGGTTCCACACCAGGCCTGTGAGATGGAGGAGGTTCCCACCAGTGTGTGGATGGTCACATACATACATACACACACACACACACACACACACACACACACAACATGTGTTATGCTGGGCCTGGGCTCTGGCTGGAAGGGATCCAGTGAGCTGGCAGAAGGTCCTACATACATGCTGGGCCTGGGCTCTGGCTGGAAAGGTATCTGGGGAGCAGCGAGTAGGTGGAAGGACACACACGCCCATTTAGTGTATTTTTAAATGTTAGTTTTACTTTCTCTTAGCTACAGTTCACTGCTTATTCTAGTTACCTTTATAGTCAAATATAATGATATCAGTAAATTTGCCCTTCCTAGCATTGTAAGATAATAATACTTTGGGGGTAAGGCATAACACAAAAAGAAGATCAGAGCCAGGTATGGTGGCCCATGCCTGTAATCCAGTACTCAGGCTGAGGCAGGATTGCTGTAAATTGGAGGTATTTCAGTTACTCTTCTCATTGCTGGGAGAAAGTGCCTAACACTCAAAATTAAGGAAAGAAAGGTTTATTTAGCTCACACTGGAGGTTTCAGTCTATACTTGACTGGGTCCCAGGCAGAGTGGCAGATGGCAGATAGCAACCAATCATGGTGATGGAGAACAGCAAACAACAAAGGCAAAAAGAAGTAGCGGCAACAGTAGCAACAAAGAGCAAGTCTGTCTCCCTTATGTTGCATTCAGGCTGTCCACCCCAGTCCAGGTGTAGCACTCACACCCAAAATCCCAGCACTGGATCATGAATTAATCACAAAGTCTGGAAGTCCACCACATGACTGCATAAGGCTTTCAGGGGGATAGTTAGACACAAACCATAACCAGAAGCCAGCCGAGGCTATATAGTAAGTTCAAGGCCAGTCTGAACTACATGACAAGAATGTCTCAAAAAGCCAGAAAGGGAGGAAGAGAGAGCATGGGGGAGGGAAGAAAGGAAAAACAAAATGGAAACATTCTCAATGGTATCACAAAAGGAAACGAATTTTATTAGAACAGCCCATAATAGATGTTTTCTGAATAAAGATAGGAAATCTAGAGTTGATGTACTCATTTCAATTTCAGTCTCTACTGAGAATTAGCATCAAATTCCTTCTTTAATTTTACTAAAGCAAAGCACAGTTGGCTTTTGCTCACCTTGGGGAACAAGTGTTTTCCACAGAAAACACTGTAACAATGCTGGGTGGTTGTGACAGAGGTCTCAGCAAATAGAGCTTTCTTCCATGCATATTTTTATTTTCATAGGGCTTGCCCACACAGTGTCATACACACCAGAATACCTTGTATATTGCTGTTATCATCAGCAGCAACTATCATCTCGCTCATAATTCATAGGACAAAACTCAAAAGTAGTTGTTCCTTTCTATGTATAAAACTATAGTCTTCTCATATTGTACAGAGTCTGGCAGCACTTTGAAACTCCAGTAGCATAACAGATAACAGAGATATGTTTTGTTTTAATGTAATAAAAAGATTTTTCTTTCAGGTATTTGTTTGTAGTTATTTCCTAAGTATTTCTAAGTACTTTCTCATTTCCCCCGGAGTTTCTCTCCTAACATCTTTATTGAATTGGAAAGTATATTGAGATGCAGTGGGAGGAGAAAGAACCTAGATTCTCTTAGCCATTATTTGCCACGAAAATATTGTAGACATCTTGATTGCTATGACCAGATATAGCCATGGTAGGGGACTTAAAAGTCTTCTCTAAATATTTTTATTTATTTGTTTTTATATATTTGGGTCTATAGGGTCTCACTACACAGATCAGACTTGTAGTGATCCTCCTGTTTTCAACCTCACAAGCACTGGGATTACAGGCACACCACCATGCCCAGCCTCTCTTATATTCTTACGTTTAATTAAAAAATGTATTTTCCTTCCTGCTTCCTGATTTCCTATAACTGTTAGAGTTTCTTTGAAAATGAAAGGATTTCTAGCAATGGGAATGTAATGTCCTACTGTGGATACTTTAGTTTAAAAGAGTAATTTGAAGTATTATCTTCATTTTTTGTGGTACTAGGGATTGAACCCAGCCAGACCCTTGCCTAATAAGGGCACGTACTCTACCACTGATTTATTTTTCCAGATCTTTTGCAAAATTTTATTTTTTGAAACAGGGTCTCATCAGGTTTCCCAGTGGCCTCAGATTGAAGCAGTCCTCCCTCAGTCTCCAGAGAAGCTGGGCTTATTTCTGTACCTGGCTTATTTTTTGCTTTTTTGAATAATCATAGAAGTATACTTAGATGCCTTGAGTTTCATAGGTCTGTCTTTTGTAGCAAAATCAAATTTGAGCTAAGGAGTAACAAGCACTAAACTCACTAAGAGGCATTAGAATTTTTAGGCCTTAGATCAAGAAACTCACCTATTTACACTGTAAACACTCAGTGTGGCTGTTTTGTACATGAATACCAAGAATGAAATGTTTCAAGATAAGTTAATTGAAGAGCATTGTTAGACGAATGATAAATTACAGAGATGGGAAAATGAATCTTACAAAGAAAGGGAAATTACCAAGCTTTGTTGGCCTAAATAGAAGGGTAACTTTATTTGCAAGGAGGAGGGTACAGTCTAGCTGTTCCCTTTAGGAGAAAGTTTTCAAGATTATAAAACACTGAAAAGGGCTTTGGAGAAAAAACAAACTCTCCAGAAAGAATACAGTTTTGACTGGTGGTTCTTAATTTTCTATGCATAAAATTCTCCTGAAATTGAGAGAAAAATAAAGTACAGCTTCTCAAGCTCCCACTAGAAATTCTTACCAATTGAGTCAGTAGTCAGTCTAAGCAGCTGCATTATCAGCAGGTAATTGTATGTGATTTTCACTAAGATAACCCTTGAAACAGGTGTTGGAAGTGTAGTCAGTAGGTGGGCTGAAGCAGGTGATCTCTAATGGACCAGTCAAACTGATCTATTAGTCTGTTCACTCACACCCACATGCATTTTCTTCTGTCATTTTGGGTGAGCTACAAAATGTTGTAAAGATACCAGAATTTAAACATATAAGCTCTATTCAGTGTTCCACATCATAGTTATTAAAGAAGTCATATGTTTAAAGCACATAGAAAAATCTAAAGTTTAAATAATACAGGGCTGGCGAGATGGCTCAGTGGTCTAAAGCACCTACTTGGAACAAGCTTGGGAAAACAGAGGGACTACGGTTCTATCCCCCAGCACCACATGCCAGCCAGCCGCGCCCCCTGGTGGGCTGAGCTGGTCACACACACACACACACACACACACACACACACACACACAAAATAAATAAATAAATGTTAAAAAAAATTTAAAAAAAAATAAAGTTTAAATAATACATAACCATCACTAATTGAGTAGAGAATATTGAGCAAGGAGAAATGAAATAATCAGTTACACCTTTATTGTGAGATACAATAAATCATCTTTAAGGCGACCTTTGTATCCTCTTGCCTCAGAGGATTAATGCATGAAGGAACCAGTTTCTAAGTTATTTATGTTTTAAATGTTAGTATTTACTCTTGATGTTACATGAACATCAAATTATAAAAGTTAGCCTCTGCTTGCTGTGTTTCTTCAAGTATCCTTTTTAATTCTGTTGCTACTTGTTTTTTATGTTTTCCTCTAGGATGGAGCTATGATGTTGAAGAGAGGAAAGTTCCAAAACCTAAGTCCAAGTCTTATGGTGCAAACTTTTCTTGGAACAAAAGAACAAGAGTATCCACAAAATAGGTTGGCACTGGCTAGACTTTGTGCTTGACTGAATAAAGTCATGTGTGCAGTATGTATAGTACATGTGTACATCTCCTAATCCAATAAATTTGACCATTAAACTACAGATATTTTGGTTTCTATTTTAAATGCTTTTTGATGTCTCAAATAGAACATGCCACAGTTTCCTTAATATACAGGAGATTGGAGGCAATCATACCTCTTAAGAAATCATGGCCTTTAGAATATATTTAAGGAAATGCTTGAAATCAGGCGCAACCTTGAAGTTTTATGCTTATTTTTTGTAGCATACCAGATGATAGTTTATAATCTACCAACCATTATTAAAATGCCCCTAGGACTTCTTTTGCTCTGTTATAGGGAGAGAAGCACATGATAATATCCAACCTGATAAACTTAAGCTAAATCTCCTTATTATTGAAGTAACACGGTATTTTTTAAAGGTCTGTGAAATTGAGTGGCACTCCATACCAACTTCTGCCCATCAACAACAGTTATGAGGGGCTCCATGATTTTAAATTTTTAGGAATTGGCTCAGAAAATAAAAACTACCTATTTTGGGGGGTATCTGGTGTTCATATTTTTTGGTTTTGTTTGCAGTACTAGTGATTAAACTTGGAGCCTTTGCAGTGAGCTAAGTCCAAATCCCATGTGTTATTTTTTGAGTTAGGGTCTTGCCAGGTTACTTAAGGAGCCCAGGCTAGGTTTGAACTTATACTGCTTCAGATTCCAGAATGTCCAGATTACAAGTGAACACCACCATACCCAGCTTCATACCATTTTTGACAATATATGTTGTTTGTTGATGATTTAGGTCATACCATGTGAACCTGCTGTGACCTTCTCAAGCACCTGTTCTTGTTAGGCTCTTCAATAAATACTGGATATACTAACTTTCATAACTTTATTAGGTAGGCACTGTTATTTTCACCATTTTGGGAAAATGAGACACAACAAGGCTTAGAATGATTAAATAACATGCTCCAAATCACAGATCTTCCAAGGCAAAGGCAGGACTGTAAACCATCTCCATCTCTCTTCAAAGCTCATAATCTAAATTACTGTAGTTAACAAAAAGGCTTAATTAATGGCAGATACTTTCATTGTGTTGTTCATATGCTCTTCAGTGTCTCAAAAGTTACATTTCCCCTCACAATTATATTTCATACAAGCACTAGTAACACATGGATGTACTCCAACAAAAAATGCACATCAGGGTATAAATCTCTATGCTTAAGTATTAGTAAATTGACCATCCTTTTTCAAAACATATATATTCCATTTTTCTTTTTTAAAGCAACTAGGGACATATCTGGACAAAATATATACCTGAACACATTATAAAAAGATGCAAATGTTACTCAAGGGATATGGCTAAATGAAGAGAACAACACTGGGTGCCACACCCATTGAGAGTAAGGTGAAGCAGTAAGTGCTTCCTCACATATGCCTAGAATGGTTCAGGAAAGATACATAAGGAACTTGTAACAGTGAGTTTTCATGGTTAGCATTGGTTATGGGAAAGTGGTAAGCCTTCTAACTTTCTTCTACCCCTGTAATGGACATTGAACCCAAAGGTTTCAATGCATGCTACTGAAGTGTTCTACCACTGAGCCACCTGTTTTTATTTTATTTTGAGACAAGATATGCCAAGTTGCACACAGTGGCATTGAATTTGCAATCCTTCTGCCTCAGCCTCCTGAGTAGCCAGGATTTAAGTGTATGCCACTGCACTTAGTTTAATTTTAATCCACTGCTTAGATATATTACTATATAGGGCCGTTGTTTGCATAATTTCAGTTATTTATAGGTTTGGATTTTTTTGTTTTTTGTTTTTTGGGGGTTGTTTTGTTTTGCGGCACCGGGGATTGAACTCAGGACCTTGTGCTTGCCAAGCTATCTCCCCAGCCCCTAGTTACTTATAATATAAAGAAATTTCCCTCTAATTCATGTTGGATAGCTTACACTTTACTTGAAAAGCTGTTTTCTTATTTTAAAATTTGTTTCCAGTTTTTTTTATCAGTATTATGCTTGCACTGCATGTTTACATTCCATGTGGGGAGTTGGTCCAGGTACATAAAGCATCTCAGTTCTTTTTCATCCCCTTTCCCTCACCTCCCACTTCTTTCCCTCTATCTCTTGAGTGCTTTTCCATTTGAGAGAGATCTGTCTCCCTACTTCCTATCATCTTTTATTTTGCTCACATAAGAGAAACTGATATTTAAGCTGGTGTGTCTCATTAAATCAAGTTGCATCCACTTTTCCTATAAATGACTCAAGTTTATCATTATTGTTATAATGGCAAAGTAGTTCTCTGTTGTGTAAAAATACATTTTCTTTATCCATTCTCCTGCTGAGGACATTACTAAGACTTAGCTATTATGAATTATACTGCTATAAGCATGAGTATGCATATATTACTATGGCATGAAATCTTGAACTCTTACAAAAAAATACTTAGAAGGGGAATAACTGCATTAAGTGATCTTTTATTTGAAATGCCTAAATTTTGAGGTAACATGTTCAGGATATACTCCTCTGCCAGAGGAATCACTAGCAAAATTTTATCCCCATTTTACAGACTGTCCCTTGAAGAAAAACTTTGAAAGATGATAAAGTACAATACAGCTCTGTAACAAATTTAACAGTTTTGTGAAATCCACAAATGCATGGAAACTAAACAGCGTTCTCCTTATGTTACTTTTCTTCTGTTGCTGAGACAAAATACCTGATGCCCAAAATTAAGAAAGAGTTTATTTAGTTCACAGTTTGTGAAGGTTTCAATTCATACTCAGCTGACTCCAAGGCAGGGTGTCGCATGGTAGAGGGCAATGGTTCTCAGTGCGGAAGACAGCAAAACAGCAAAAGGGAGGAACAGCAGAAAACAAACCTCTCTCTGTCCCTTATATCGCATTCATTCTACCTGCCCCAGGGTAGGGGTGGCACTCACCAGTATTTCCAGCATTGGACCATGAATTAATCACGAACCCTAGAAAGTCTACCCCATGACTACATGAGGCTTTACAGGGATATCTAGACATGAACCATAATACTCTTGAACAACCAGTAGATAAAAGAAGAAGAAAATTATTTTTCCAGTACTGGGGGTTGAACTCAGGACCCTGCACTTGCCAGGCAAGCGCTTACTCTACTGAGCTATCTCCCTGACTCCAAAAGAAGAAATTTAAAAGGGAATTTAAAAATGCTGTATCTTGAGAGCAACACAATGGAATCTCAATATACAAAACTGGGATATAGCAAGACTTGTTCTAAAAGGGAAAGTTACAGCAATAAATGTCTCAATAAAAATTAAAGATTCTAAACAAAACAATGTTACACTTCAAGGAACTAGGTAAGGAATAGCTTAAACTCAAAGTTGGTAGTTGGACGGAAATGAGAAAGATCAGATATGAAATAGGGACTAGAACAACAGGAAAAATCAACAAAACTATTTTTGTTTTTGGAAAAAATATCTGCAAACATAATTAGACTAAGAAAAAGGAAAAGAGATTTAACCATAAATGAAGAAACTTTGGATGATTACTACAGAAATAGAAAGGCTTATATGACACTAATACAGTTACAGAGCAACAAATTAGATAACTTGGGGGAAATGGATAAATTCCTAGACACATACATCCTACCAAGACTGCAACATGGACAGATAGAGAATCTGAACAGATCTATAAAAAGTAAAGTGATTGAATCAGTAATAAAAGGTCATCCATCAAACAAAAGCCTAGAACATGATGCTTTCACTGGAGTGCTACCAGACTTCAAAGAACTTTATTGACCTGAAGTTTTACAATAAAGATACTTTTTATACTGAAGATAAATTTTCACATTGAAGTTTTAAAAATTTTATTTTTCCAAGAAATAAGCTTTTTTCTTTTTTAGAAATAAGCTTTTCAGCTATATTTGTATAGGTATATTTTATATTTTGGATGCACAGTAAAGCTTACTGTTGTTTCAGACAATCGGTTCTGCAGAAATTAAAGCATACTTCATAAGCAAAAAAAAAAAAATACTAATCTCTTTCAAAAACTGAAAAGGAAGCAGTTCAAAAAGCCAAATAACATTACAAGAGGGAAAAAAAAAAATTACAAACCAGTGTCCCTAATGCTAAGTCAGCTCCAGAGTGCTGACACTGTTGGAAACTCCCGTTCACCACAAATGAAGCAGGGCTTGGGAGCTCCAAGCATCTCCTGTATACAAGAGGAGCATCTGCACATTCTAGTACCAGTGTGGCGCCCCTACCCCAGGCATCTGTGTGCTCCACCAGCCCGTGTAGCCATGCTTTTCAGGGCTGAGCGGAAGCAACACCTCAGCACCCAAGGAACTGGAGCCTTGTTGGAATGCTGCCAGCCTGTGTTCAAGTACATCACCTACCTACCTAGAACTAGGGTTACAGCAGTCTAAGTTTCAGAGGTACCCCATCTCCTTGGCGAGCACTCATTGCTGTACTGACCCTGACCACTACCCCCAAACCAAGAGGCATCTTTCCACTTCTGGATCCTTGATGTTCTGCCTTTTCTCACAGAGCCTGGGCTGCTGTGGCATCAGTGTCTCAAGGTTCAGTCATGACTATGTGGTATCTCTTCCCTCAGAACACAAGCTGCTCCTGTGATGTGTTGGAGGTCTCCCCAGCCCTCTGAGTCTTGGCCTCTAAAGCACCTCTTCTTTCTTGGAGCTGTAGTAATGTTGGGCCCTGCCATTTAGGTTAGAACCAAGAATGTAGCCCAAAGTCTTGAACCTGAGTTGTACCTCAGGGCAATGAACTCCAGCTTATGGGAGGTCAAAAGACAAAAACATCCAATGCCACAGTCGTTTGACAACACTAAGCTCAGGAACCCGACTCCATGGCCACTCCAAGCACTCATGTCTTAGAGCTCAGTGCCACTGTACCTAGCTATGATATGGTGAAGTGCAACACAGAAACATTCCCTCAGCTAAGATTCCCTACTGTGAGAAAGACCAGAACAAGAGAATCCCTAATAACACTTTCCCCAGACCACTGTACCATCTGTAATCATGGCTGACTAATCCCACTGGAGGAAGTTGTGTAGTCACTATACCACTATAGCCACATGGAAACAGCCATCACTTCCTG